GAGACAAAAAGAAATCCTCTTCAACTCAGCAGCTGGTGAAAGTGCACTGAAGACTATGTTCTAAGATGACTCTATGTGGAGAGCTGCAAGGCTCTTACCTTCAGATGGAGGGACCTCCAACAACAATCAATCCAAGGGACCTCAGGCACCCCTCACACACATTGCCCTCCAGATCCTTCAGCATCTTTGCAGCCCTCCTTTGGATGCTCTCCAATAGCTCTATGTCCTTCTCATACTATGGTACCTAACCTGGAGTGCTCCAGGTGAGGCTGCACCAGGTAAAGCACAGCAGGACAACCCCTGTCCTGTCCCTGCTGGCAGTGCTGGGCCTGCTGCACCCCAAGGTATGGTTGGCCTTTTCACAGCCCTTCTCCCCACGGGGCACAGAGGAAAGCTGGTGATGGTGACGGCAGCTCCAACCTCAGCCTGTGAGCCAACACCACGGCCACTGCAAAACCAGACCAAGCCCCACATTCAGGCTGCCTTTGCTGCTCCCTTATCTCCCCAGGACTTGCACAAGTCTCAGGGCTCTGGAAGGGTGCAGAGATGAGGGCGACAGATCTTTGTAAGCCCATGATCACTTCTCACAATCATGGCTTCATTGCCATCTGTGGGAGCAGCACTTGCAGGGAAGCAAGTCAGGCAGTTGCTTTTGAAAGGTTTTGTGCCCCTTTCAAAGCAGCGAAATCAGCCCTAAGCGCTGCGGCTGCTATAAAAAAAAACTGCAAAGACAGCACAAGAAAAGGATACGGCACAAGGAGTAACAGTGAAAAACGCAAACAGGAATCCATCAGGCACCCAAGGCAGGCATATTTTCTGTATCACAGAAGGTGCAAATCAATGGCGTGAACATTCTCTAACCAACATCCCCTGTGATGCTCTGGGAAGGCAGAAGAGCATCCGCAGACCTGCAGTACGTGGTCTGACACCAGAAGCCTTTACTAAGAGCAAACTTCCAAACCCTCTGCCACCACTGCTCAAAATACAAACCAACCTCTTTCCTAAGAGCATCTATATAGTGTCATCACTGTGATCGCTGTGAATGTATATGTTAAAAAGGGAAATCTGTGGGTTGCTTTTTTCATTTTAAGATCCATGGGTATCGCTTCCATTCTGTTCGTGCACACAACCTTAATTTTTGTATGAATGGTGAGATCCCCACCAGCTAGCTTCAGGAACAAATAGTTTAAAGCACAGGGGATTAATCTCTGTGTCCCCAGCACATGATGAATAAGGAATTTTTGTGGCAGTTCTCCTAACTCCCTGTTACACTGAACAAGATGAAATTACACCCCTCCCCACCTCTTGCTCTGCCTCAGCACAAGAAAAAGCCAGTTACAGACGTACATATTTGGCTTCACAGAAGGCTAGATGGAGTTTCTTGGCTGCCAGTGTCTTTCCGGCTATTTTATTTCCATCTCTTATCAGTATTTAGACACTGCCACATCATGTCTCAAGGCAAAAAAGCAATGGTCTAAACTGAAGTTAAACTTTTCCCTACGCTTTCATCCCAGTTCTCTGCAATTTCAAGGATTACTTTCTTACTCTTTTTTTCTTTTTTTCCAACTATTGATTTTTCATTTTAACCACCTCTTCCTCTGCCTTTAAAAAACAAACACACCATCAAAAATAAGCAGCCCACCACTGATAATCCTCATGCCTCATACATTGCAAGCTCACTTGCTCAGCCAAGAAGAATCTACAAACGATATGAATTCCAAAACTGGGAACTGTAACTCTTTCCCCAAAGAGCACAGGATTTCAGAGCAGCATCTGCACAGGAACATGTCTGAGTGGGGCACCATCCTCCTCTTCTGCTCCAAATGAAGACACGGCACAATTAACCACAGAACAGAAGACCCTGTCCTGTTGGAGAGCACATACTGTGACAGAGAGAAACGCAAGCACTGCAATTACTCCTCAGCTCTCCCTTCCCATCCTACTTGCTTGAGTAGCACTTCATTTTTGAAGCACGCAGGAGAAACTCTTATCAAATGGGTCATCTAAGTACATAACAGGAGAAACAAGTATCGTAAAGTTATTCAGGTGCCGGTTTTTCCCTTATTTGCTCTAATTGCACTGTCTAGCTCATAACACAGTTGACTGGTAGACAAAAAAAAGCCTCCACGAACAGAGAAATGCAGCATGGGTTTGTTTGCCACTCCAACACTCATCTCTTAAAACACACTGGGTTTTAATGCTGCCAGGTATAGAATCACAGAATACCCTGAGTTGGAATTAGTCAAAGGGATTGAAGGGATCATTTGGGAACTGATTTTTTATTTTTTTCCAACAAACTTTTCCCCCACAAAGCGCCATTACCAATGCTGCTGACTTCATAAGAATCCTGAAACACACTTCAAGAAAAAAAATAAAAGGAAAAGTGAAGTGAAAGCTTCCTGTTCAACCACAAGCATGCAGTCACTGTTACTGACCCATATACCCGCCTGATACAAGATGCATGGGGCTCTCCTCAGGCCATGTTTGGACCAAAATACTTCTGTCACAGCCCTGTCTCAACCCTCTTCCTCTCCAGCCTTTATCCTATCTTCTTCACACCACTACCTTATAAACATGAAGGAGCTGAAGGGTTGCAACTCCACAGCCTGAAAAACAAAGCTAAGGATGGAGGACAAAGATCTAGATTTTGTATGGCACTGCTTTAGGACATGACAGTCTGTCACACAGCAATGCAAACATGATATGCACTAAATCTTATGGGTTTCGTACCTATATATACATAAATAGGTAGAGAGATGTGTGTGCCATGTGCTTTTTCTCTTCCCTTTTTAATCCCACTTGCAGCTTGCCTGCACAACATACTTTCCACCGGGAAAAAAAAGGCTGCTTTTTAGCCCCTATATACTACCTGAAGCAGAAAGCCATTCCCTCTACAGCACCCTAACCAGCTCTAAAACCCAAAACATAGCTTGTGAGGCTAAATACCCTAACACAGACACTTCAAACAGCCAGCAAACCCAAACTGTGCTACATATTTAGATTCAAGAGGATGGTGCTTAGTGTTTCTGTTGAGCTCCGTGCCTCTGCTCCCACCTGGGAATGCCCCATGGCTACTAGCAGCAGCATGGCAAATCCTGTTCAGCTTGTGTAATGCCATCTTTCACTCTGAAACGCAGTAATGAAGTCTGCTCAGAAATAATTTAAGAAAATTCATGCAAGTGACAGACGTACTCCTGAAGCAGTTTTTTTCTGCCTGTATATTTAGAGGTAAGTAGCGCTTCCAGCTCAGGCTGCATCTCAGTCTGGGTAAGCAAACGTGCAACTGCTGAGCACAGAATCACAGATTCTTAAGGTTTGGAAGGGACCTCTGCTGCTTATTTAAATGGTGCTCTTTTCTGAATAGCTGGAGGAATCAAATAAATACACTCCTGGACCCCAGGACCGAGGTGTGCTACATGTGAGTGTATCACACCAGAGCGCTTCAGCACATTAGGTAAAAGGAATTACTGTCACTTTTATCAGCACAACTTCACTGCTCAGTTAAGCAAAATCCTTCGCCATCTAGCCTGAGCTGAGACAGATGGGGCAGGTCTAATACCATCTTAAGAAACTTTCAATTTGAATAAAAAGCATATCGGTTTCTTGGCTTACTGTCAGAAGAACACGAATTAGATCTGCTTGCTTTTTCCTGCCAGTGGATCACAAATATCTTCATAAACCTATTTCTGAGACCTCAGATCATTACCTTTCCCTAACAACAACAACGAAGAAAGAAATACCACTGATCATTATACAACAATTCCAGAAATGGAAGAGTAAGCTTCGGGCTTCTTGTGAGTTCATCTGCTATCTTGTGAATCCCAAAATGTCTCGAGTAGATGCCTGAGTGCCTAATGGGCAAGCAGCTAACAGCAGCAATAATGTGTTCATTTGGATACCAGACCTTGTGAGACAAAGTTGTGCCGTGTGATGACTGCGTAGTGACTCCTCCTAAAAGGAGATCTCTGCTCACAAGCCTAAAGCACTGCAATGCTTCCGTGTTCCCTGTTCCTGCAAGTCCTACAACATGGGCACGGCATTTGAAAGGGTCTGCTTTGCTCTCCTCCTCTTTTTAACCAGCAAAAGATGCCTTGCAAATTAAAGTGGTCATAATTATCCAAGGGCTAACAATGCTGTATCTACCTTCCAGAGAGTTCATGTTACAATTCGGCCATTCTTCTCTGTATTGCAGTAGGAACACAACAGAAGCAACCCACATTAAAATGAATTAAAAAAAAAATCACAACAGACTGAATAGATTTTAAAAATTATGACAGTGGCGCACAGAATTCATAAAATCTACATAAACATGAAATCTGGTGCATTCACCTTCAGGTGCATTTAAGCAACGACACAAGGAAATAAGAACATTTACGACCACGAGGATTAAGGAATGTTATCTTTGTGACTGCACACCAAAATAAAAAGCAGCTCTGTGTTATAAATATTTATCGCCAGTAAGGAGATCAGAGACATGAATATGCAGATAGGACTCGTGACACAGAGCTGTCATGTGCTGTCTTGAGCAGCACCAACTGAAGTGCAACACGACGGACATCCACTCCTCATATTGCACACCTAGCACTAAGTTTTTGGGTACTGAACAGGCATTGGTTGCAAGAGCAGGTGAGTCCCCTGGGCTCCACAGGCACACACATCCATGCTGACAGCAGGAACATCTCAGGGCCTCCATATCCACCTGGGCATTACGGCAGACCAGCTCTACTGGCCTACACCAACCAAACGAGCAAGAGGGGAACTGCTTGTGAGCAACCAGGACTTCGACATTCCTGCTCTGCAATTGTTTGGGGAGCGGTTTTTTGATGTGGGAAATGATTTCTGAAAGAAAATATATTATATGTATAAATACACACACACGAGCAACGAGGTGGGTGCAGGATTTGGAGCTGCCCATTGCACCATACGCCTAAGGGAAGATGCCCACAGCCCTGCCGACACCATACGGGTAAGATAACACTTCTCTGGCCCTGAGGCTTATCTCAGCACAAGTTACGCTGCCTTCCCCATGCAGTAAGCTATAAATAGGACAGCTTATGGGAAACACAACAGAAGTAAATGCCAGTTCCTGCTGGCTGATTCAGGGCACAAGAATAATATTCAGACTGCAACAACTGCATTTACGTACAATTAATCAGTCATGAAATGCAAAGCTTTAGCCTCTTA